GGTTAAGCGTGACCTAATGGTTAAACGGTTGAATTCCTTCGAGACTAAAAAGGACCGGTTTATGGTTTCAACGCAGTTCTTCTTAAATCTCGGAGATCCCAGTCATCAGATTAAAAATGACCGGTGGATTACAACGGCAACGAACAAGTCCGAAACGCTGGTCGCGATCGCTTAGTCATCATGGTTCGCGATCATAACAACCGCAGGAATAATTTTACGAAAGCGCTAATAGAAAAAAAACACAGGACACGGTTTCCTGGTGTCTTTTACCTCATTGATATAATGAAAGTAAACACATCAGCTGAGTAGGCCGTGGCACCAGAAATAGGAACTCAACAGGGAGCAAGTCGAGTTGGAAGAAGGGACTAGAAGTAAGCAATGCAAAGGCCGCATAATTAAACGCCCTGGTTTAAACGCAAAACACAGAATACAGGCCTCACAAGTAATCTGGTTTATTAAACAGAAAATATACAATTTACAAACACATCATAAAATAATAGCTGCATGCTTAGGTGGGGTCGGAGCCCTGAGGTATAAAACAAGTCCTGTTTTCTACGATTTGGTCCAACATTTCGTAGTCTATTGTCTCAGAAGGGTCACAGACCGGGCCGGTTGTCATTTCAGCGAACTTGTCTGAGACCTATAGAGAGGGACACCAGGTCAGGAGCTGGATCAATTCGGACAAGTAGGGCAAATCCACTGGATTAGATTAAAAAAGACGGAGAGCACTATAGAGAGACAAAGGCACGGAGTGTGAAGGTTAAAAGAATCGGAAGAAAAAGTATACCTCAGTGATCCGGTCGACAGAATTGGTTATCTCGGACAGGAGGTGTGCGAACTCATGCAGTGCCTTTACGCCCTCACCTAGGGAGGTCAAATCCTGAGTAAGGCTGGAACACGTCTGAGGCTCTTCAATAGGTAGCGAGGCCTGGGGAACAACAGCCGCTCCACAGTTTTGGGCAATCATGGCTTTGCGAAGCTCCTCAGCCTCGTCGGCCAGTTTCTTGTGCGCCTCGATATACTAAAATTTTTGGGCGAATAAAAAGGTTACGAAATATTTGTTAGCAACCATGCCTATAAAATACTTGGTTTCAAAGATTAAAAGCGGGTAAGCGTACCCACGTAGGACAGAATAGAGCTGATGCACACATTTTACTGACTTAAGACGGGGCCGGACACGCGAATGTGAAACGTTCTGTACTATAGGCGCCCTTGCAATAAATGCCCAGGGATACCTATTCCCGTATCTTAATTTACCCTCCCTAACGAGAAGCTCCTGGAAGTTACTGCAAGGCCAGTCGTAGTACCTGAAGCCCATATGCCCGTGCCTCGCTGAAAACCATTATTAATAGACAGAACAACGATCCGAGAAAGGCACGATGACCAAAGAAAGTGGCTTGAAATCCTAGGCACCTCCAAATGTGCTGTCGTAGCAACCTGGCTCAAAGAGGTGACGTTGTAGTTTGGTTTTATGCCACGGTCGGTGTTAAAGCTAAGACACTGGAATATTTGCCCTTTCTGAAATTTATCTCAAGGCTACTTATTTTGAGCGCGAGGAACGTTCCTGTTCCCATGTTCTCTTTACGCGGCCGTATAAGTAAC